AGTGCTTTTCTGATACCCTCCCCCGGCCCTAGTTTTGCAGTGTGCTGCTAGCATTACCCAAGCTAAGGAGAAAACAGAGTTGTGTTCCCCAGCAGGGGCCGAACCCCTTTCTACAAAGCTTTTTTTTGCCTGAATTTCTAGGATGGCCTGTAAGTAGAAATGCAACGTGATGCAGTACAGAACGCGGCTGTAATAAGAATACTTAGGATGAAGTAGTGCCTGGAGAATAGAGAGAAATAAGTGTTCATTCCTCTTCAGCGATTTCTCTCTCTGACCTTTGTTTTTCACTGTCTCTGTGTTACTTTTCTCCTTCTCTCTCTCTCGAGATCCTGAAAGCAGTAATTTAAAAAGAGGGGAGCATGATTCATGTTCAATCAGCTTCAACCTGCTTCGTACAGGATTCTTCTGCAATAAGCTGGAGAAGAGCTTCTGTTTGGTTGTCACTGGCAGCATCCAGGCTGGTTACAGCAGTGTGGGCATGGAGAGCAGATAAGGGCATGTGAGCCTCAGCACCGCCTAAGCTGTGGAAGGATTACCTGCACTCCATCCAGTGCATAACTTGGAGTTTGCCTTGTTTCCTGTGGTCCCCAACTCTGCAGACAGTGATTGTCTTGTTAATACGGGTGCTGAGATCTTGGCTATGATTGAAACAGGGTCTAGAATCAGGCATGTTTTATGTTTAAGCAAACCTGAGATCTGTTTGCCTCGTTAAAACAGTACTTTTGCATATGAAGACCTGTTTTGTTTGGATTTGTGAACTCCCACACCCTGAACATTTACATGTCTGGGAGGTCCTGTCTCAGCATCCTCACTGCCGACCAGGAGTCACTCCTGCATCCCTCCAGCATCCCTCGGCGCCCGGACACCAGTTGTAATTCGATTTTTATTGCTCAAAATGCTTTTCTACCCTCTTGCGTTTAAGAGATCCCTTCCTCTACAGCAAGCAGGGAGCCCGCATCTTACTCCTTGGCATTTAGCGGTGCTGTTCGCCTCCTCTCCCCGGCTCTTTGTTCCCCGGCCCGGGCTGTCCCTCTGCGGAGACCGGCTCCGGGGATTTTCCTGTGTCCGGGGGGGGGAAAGGGGGGCTGTTCTGCTCCGGGCACCTCTGTCAGCTGAAGGGGGCGGGAGCTGCAGCCCTGAAGTAGAAAAGGAAGAGGAAAAGAAAGCGCGGGGAGAGGGTGAGAGCCCGCCGGACGGTGGGGCTGAGCCCTGCTGGGGACCGCGGGCGGGAGGAGGAGGAGGAGGAGGCGCGAGAGGATGCAGCGGGGCAGCGATGCTGCGTCTGCCTGAGGAGAAGGACATCATCCTCGGAGGGGAAGGAGGGAAGTGGGGAGAAGGCGGCCAAGCTCGCACAGAGCCCGCTGAGCTCTCCCGGGGCTCGCCTGGCACCCGAGCAAAGTTTGCCGAGCTCGGTGAACAGAGGGGAGGAGGCAGGTGGGATCCTTCGCCCAGCGCTTCCAGCCCTGGCTATGCTGGGACTAGCCATGGCTTTGTCATCCCCGACTAAAGGGTGAAGGAAGACGCGGGGCACCCGCTCTCTCCATCACCTTCCCCGGCACCACGCTCCAATCCAGGTAAGCGTCCTCCCCTTCCAGGCACTGAGGCTCTGCCTGGGAGTTTCCCAGCACTTTGCCCAGGGAGAAAGTCTTGTGCTTCTCCTGATAGCTAAAGGGTGGGTGGGTGCGTGTTTGTGAATATGTCTGTGTGCGGGGGGGTGGTTATAGCTGTCTGACTGCAATTTCTGTTTGCTGATCACTGTCATTATTTCACTGTGCCATCACACCTCTAGAAAGGAGATTCATCTGGGGTCTGTCAAATATTTTGGCTGTGTTGCTGCTGTGAGACTGTGGAAGGATGACAGCTCGATCCCCCTCTACAACTGAGAGGAAAGCGTGCCTAGCTGTGCATGCTGCTGATGCTGCTGGTGTGGCATTAAATGATGCTCCTGAAATGCTGGCTGAATATTATCAGTATACCTCTCAAGCTCTAGGAAGTCTCATAGCTGTGAATGAAAATCTCTTCTCTGTTCCCCTGAGAATACAGGGAGGGATGGATGTTCCCCTAGGAGTCACTACAGACTCTGGATTCCCATCACTCTAGCTTGGATATGCAGTGCTTGTTTGGTGTGTAGTAGTGCTTGGCTGTAATGCATTTCAAGATGAAATGTTTGAGGAAGAAACCTAGACTCTAACTGATAAGAAAAGAACCCGTTTCACACAGAGAGCCCAAAGAGAACTTTTTTCACTCCTGAGGTAAAGGAAGTTTGTCATTTTGGACAGTATAATTTGGCTGGAAAATTGGTCATTTTTGAACCCATTAACTTGGCTGAAGTAGAAGGTAAAAGCTGCCAGATGTTCTCAGGCAGGTTAAGAGTGGGATGGAGAGGGACCTTACTGCCCACAGCATCAGCCTGTGCTCTAGGATATGGCAGGAAAACAAAGATGCTTCTGTTGTACATAGCAATCAGAATAAAGATGGACTTGGGGTTGTTGCAGGGTCTCATTAGGCAGAGGATGTTATAAGGCATTATGTGGCTTTGGTTTGTTTTTCGCTTTATCCTCCACTGCTTTGCTGGTTTTCTCATCCCCATATCATCTGTTTTTCCAACAGGAATCCCCTGTGTGTAATCCCTGATGTTTTATATGGAGATCGAGACAAGAGCAAACAATGATCCACTTTATTCCCAGTCCAAACACACTGTCTTCTATGTACTCTTGGTTACCCCATGGTGTTTGTGCAGGTCATGTCCTAGCTTTGTGATGGTGCTGTCTCCCAAGTTCTTCTGTCCCCAGGCTGATGGGAGAGGTCTCTACTTCAGGCAGGGTTCCTTTGGATTCTCCAGTGACTCCACTGCTTTCTGCTGGGAAAGGTCCATTATCATATGTAGGTGCTCCAAGCAAAAAGGATGGGAAAAGGGTTTTGTCTTGGACTTAGCATGGCAAGAGCCCTTATGATGCAGCTGTAGAAAAGGGTTTGACAAGCTACAGAACTGCTCACACTGTTTAAATAAGATCTCAACCCTGTCTCTGTTTTTGACCACTCCAGCTAGCTCTGTCCCATGGTTCTGAGTATCTCTGTATATGTATATATATATATGTACCTCTATATATGTGTATATATATGTATCTCTATATGCATAATGTGAATGAGGCAGACTTAGCTCCCTATGTTTTCCTCTGATGCCATCTCAGCAGGTTTGGTGTCTTGCTCATTCAGTTACCACCAGGTTCTTTTATTCCTCACCTAAGGGTGTGCAACACAAACCTTTGGATTCATTTTGCTATACCTTCACTCTGCAGGCAGCGTAACAGTCCTTGTGTAAGACCTGGCCCTTTGAACTGACAAACACATGTTTTGCAGTCATAGATGTATCTAAAGAGTTCCAGGACCCTTTTGTGCAGGCTGATACTGATATGTTCCCAGACACCCAACCCAATAGGCACCCTAGGATGAGGACTCCTGACAAGTTACTCATCCCTGCTTTAGCCACAGATGTTTATTTGCAAACTTCCTTTCTTCCCTCCTCACCTTCCAGGAGGCAGGTAGCTGCCATTGCTTGACCAGCCCCTTGGCACAAGCTGGGCCATCGCATGGACCAAGGAGCAGCCAGTGCCTCCTTCCATTGAAGCTGCAGGGTGAGAGTTCTCTGTCCTTGCATCCCTATTTCTGTACTGTAGATCTGGTTCCCTCTCCTTCTGGGAAGCAGCCGTGAGCGCCTGGGAAGCTGATGGTGACAGTACCCACACTGAGCCCAGTTGTATCATTCTCTCAGGTCATTTATCCTTCCAGAGTGGATCTGTGGCTCTCTTTCACCTGCTGGGATAAGCTGTCCTTGGATGGGCTGCCCTGGTTTATCACTGTCAAGGTGTCTTGTCTCCCTCTTCCTCTGGGGAGGGCCCAGTGAGGATTTTCCCAAGCTTAACCCATAATGCTCACAGAGCTGTAATGATGAACAGAAGTTGCCAGGTAGAGAAAAAGAGCTACTAGGGACTGTACTGGATGATACTGCTGCAGTCTTGAAAGCAGCCAGACACCAGCATAGTCTCTCTGGAGCAAGTACAGATGACTACTGACAGATGTGATGGGCAACAGGTTGAAGTTCCTCTTGGAAATCTCAGTGGGAGCATGACCTCTGGTCTCTGCCTTGCCTAGGAGCAGAGGCAGCTGGCTTGTTTGTGCATCCCACTAGAGCCCAGAAGCTGTGATAGGAGGGAGAATACTTGCAGGGTAGAAGCAAGTGAGTGCTGAGTAGTCAGGAGGGAGAAACCCAGTGAAGTGCTTTTGTTATATGGTTTAGCCATGAGGACCCACACCGTTCCCTGCTGAGCAGTTTGCAGTGGGAAAATGTATGGTAAACGGAGGGGAAGAGCCATGCTGGGGTGTTTGCAGCCTGTATCTGCCTAAGGTTCAGACTGGCATGCAGAAGAGCTGGGCTGAGAGCAGTGTGTGTGTGTATATGTGAGCCTTTAACCAGAAGCTATCTTGCTGCTGCTTCAGGGCTGGTGAAGGAAGCAGAATCAGGGCTCCAGCTCACAGCAGTGTGCCAGGACTCCCAGGCAGAACAAAAAAGACACTGCTGGAGCAACATGCGTGCGTATTAGCCTGGCTAATAGAGAAAATGCCCCTTCTCCGTTGCACACCCTCAGTTCTCTGGAGAAATCTTTGCCTACAGAGACTCCTCCCCAGCCAGGCATCCCTCAATGAGGAAGGATTTAATCCTTCCGTGTGCCTGTCCCTGTCAGCTCCAGCTGATGTCTCACTGGATATGAGCTTCACTGCAAGTTCACTGCTGCACTTCATTCAGGTCCAAACAAAAGCCCAAGCCATGGAAATGAGGTATGACACCAGATAGAGCAGCAGAGCTTTGCCTCAGCTGGAGCTGCGGGAAAATGTTATAACCTAGGAAACATGTTGAAAATGCCATTTCTTGCTGGTCCAACTGCAGTGTTTGGCATTGCATGTTTTAGAGTGACGGGGGGCGTGATTTGGTGGGGTTCTTTTAATGTAGTGGCTGCAGAGTGTTAATAGCACAACAATGATTCTTGGCTCTTGCAGTGGAAACCTGTGTGGTACCAGTTTTCCTCCAGCAACCCTTCTGAAAGTGATTTAACAGCAGAGGAGGGGGAGAAGCTAGGGAGTGAGGCAAGGGGGTAGGAGAGGGCAGAATGCTATTGTTTGCAATCAGGCTGGGAAGAGAAATGATCTCCTGTCTGTAAAATCAAAGGCATCACCAGCAAACTGCTGGCAATCTGGCTTCTAGCAATTCGGCTTCCCAGCAAAATACAATGAACACAAAGCCAACTCTTATCACATCCAATAATCTCGTCCATGGAGAACTGCTGTTGCCATCCAGGGCTATGTGTTCCTGCTTTGTGTCCTAGGCAAAGGTCGTTGAGCACACTGGGCTCAGTTCCCCAGCCTGAGGCTGACTGCATATGGGCACCATAGGCAGTGAGAGCCCTTACTTGGGAACAGGCTTGGATCTCTATTTAGTTGTTGGCATCAGCACAGAAGATGATGCTGGTCATCATGAACTGTGGTGGAAAGGTGCCTTTGGTTCATTGCTCTAACAACTGCATGCTTTCTTGTTCCTCTCCAGGGATTTAAGGCAGCAGGAAACCAAAACTAACCTTCTCGACACAGTGTACATCCTGTGAGGACTGAAGTGACCTCTGATGAACCTCAACATGTTCAGTGAAAAGAGCAGCGCCTCTTTGCCCCAGAAACCCATCCAGAAAAAGACACGACCTCAGGGCCTCCCCTCCCCTGCCCTCTGCTGTGCTTGTGGACTTTGCATCATGCTAGCAGGGATCAACATCACCTTAGTGGGAGCATTTGCCTTTGGGACCTTCATCCCCATGAACAACCCTCCCATCATCATCGGACCCATCTTGCTGGTGGTGGCCTTCACGTTCTTCGGTGCCTGCTGCATCTGCAGCCGGAGGCCCCCAGCTCATGGGGCGAGGAAATCCAAACCAGGTTCCAACATTGGGCTCATCAAACCTGGCAACACAGCCTTTGAAATTGAAACTAGCGAGCACACGGTGCAGGATACCACTGCTGTTCAGCTGAGCCCCACAAATTCCCCCATCTCCTCAAAGAAGTCCACTCCAGTTCATGAGAATGCGAAGGCTTGCAAGCTCTTCACCATGGAAGGCAATGGACCAGTGGCCAAGTATACCGCAGGAGGAGAGGCCATACAGCTCAACTTGCCCAGGGACCTGGCTGCATCCTAAACCCAGGCAGAGCTTTTATTAGCAGCCAGCCAGATGCTGCAATGGGTGGGCTAGAGATCCATGATGTGCCATCGGTCAGAGATGTGGAGAAGCTGCTTGTGAAAAGCCAGCAGACAGACAGGTTTCTCTCTGAATCAATTGAAGGGAGGTGGATGCCACAGCAGGATAATTCTGAATTTTTGCTGAAACATGCCCATTACATGGCTTTAAAAAGAAAATTGATTATGATGTTGTTGTGAAAGGATGACTCTCAGTTCCTGGGAATACACCGGCTTTTTTTGGGAGTGGATAGGAAGAGGTGAATGAATTAATTTGTCTAGCTTAATGTGGAAATGTGATGGCTGGAAGGAGGGGCTACACGGGGCTGACAAATGACAGCTCTTTCTTCTCAGAAGTGAAGCAATTCTTGAACATAAAAGAAGCAGGAATGCAGTAAATTACAGCTTGCTGCCACTCAGTCACAAGAAGATTTCAGCATTTTTAGTGCCAGGCTTTTTGGCACTAGGGACAAAGCTGTGTGTTTGCTATCGAAAAAGCAGTGTGAAACAATCTCCCCTCTGTTGAAAACACTTGTCCCGTGTTACCTTCGTTCAGGTGACTTTACCACCCATTCTAGGAGACAACAAATCACAAGGATCACCATTAGCACTGGTATTTTCCTCTTGTTTTAATCAGTTTGAGCTGCAGCTGTGCTGCTCAGTGCAGTACGTATCTTGGAAGGTCAGTTACACTGAATCCTTGGGGAATCTGGAGTAAGCAGAGATTGGCAGGAAACTGCAAATGAAATCTTTGGGCAATGTGTGTACTGAGTGCTAGGCAGCTTCCTTCCCATATTTTTGTGGGAGGCTGGCCTTGGACACACACCAGCTTGGGAAAGGGGCCAATAACTGTATGGGCTTTAGTATAGTTGTGATGGAAGATGGTGACTCTTATTTCCTTCTCTGAAGTGTCTGCAAGATCCATTACACAGAGCGGGCAATCGGCAGTAGATCTCCTTGCTGCAGGAAACTGGCTGCTCAATGAACTCATGAGCTTGCAAAGCAATGGGATGAGTTTGCAGGAGAGAATTTATCGAGAGCTGTTCAGCACAAAGACAATAGCTCTGCCTCGGAGGAACCCTTATGTGATGCATTATTGCTGCAAAAGCTTCATGTTCTTCAATGGGAAGATGGTGCTGTGCTAATGGGCCTTTGCTCTGACTCCTGTAGTGTCTGTTCACTTGTTTTGGAAGATAAGGGATTGGTGTGGGGAAGGACAGTGGTGATAGGCAAGACCAGTATGTGGGGAGGTAGCAGCAGGAAAGTGGGTTTTGTGTAGGAACGGCTGCATAGATTCTCTGTTAATGGAAAACCTCAATTTGAAATGGGGCTCTTGGGACTTTGAGTGATTAGGAAGTCATATGGACACAAGAGTGACCATACCAGATCATTCCAAAGGCCCAGCTAGCCTAGCATCCTGTTTCTGGCAGGGCCAAGAGCAAGGTCTGAAGAGCATGAAGACAGCAAAACCAGGATGTTGCTTGTCCCAGCCTCCATGCTCCCAGCTATTGCTTAGGTGCTTCCTGATCTGGAAGTGATAGATTGCTTGAAGGTAGATGGGTGTCTATGGTCTGGTCTCTGCACAATCATCTCCTTTAGAGCTCATTTTCATGGGTGAGCTCTGCCTCCAGCACCGCTGCCCTTTGGCACACAGGAACTGCTGTACTGAACAAAAGGCTCCCACGATTTTTTTCCTGCTGGTGACTGCTGTATCAATTCAACAGAGTAGCTGGATGATTTGGGTTTGATTCCCAGCTTGCTGTCTCACCAGCCTTTTGGGATGGCACACAACAAGCTGGAAGTCCTTTAAGGGCTTTGTCCACTTGAATACAGTTACCGTATCACTTTTCTTTGAGTATCTGGAGCCAAAAATACAGTAAAATCAAGTGGTAACCGTACAACTCCTTTCCCTGCTTGCTCAAGGCTTGAAAACCAAGTCTGGGGTGTGCATACCGGCTTTATTACAGCTACACCACAAAATGCTGCCAGTGATGGATAATACAATGGCAGACCCCATGCAAGTAGAAGGCAAAGGCCCCTTGGACAGGAATGGGGGCAGAAGTGAGGCTTTGAAGGCCAGCTATGAGTTTAGTGTGGTTCACACTTGACTTGCAGCATCACAGTCAGTACCATACAGGGAACACTGGCACAGCCCTGGGACCAGGCACATCCCGTGCTGCACGTGCAGGTTGTCATAAAGCTAGTGTTGCTCTGGGAGCTGATGCCCTTGGGACCAAAGAGACGACAACCAGCAGAGATGGTACCTGGGCAAGCAGAGGTGTAGGACCAGCGAGATGCTGATCCCTGGTGTGGTGTGTCTGTATGCCAAGCCATGACCCCAGCCTCCTGCCCACACAGCTAGGTGGGCATGGGAACATCTGCTGCCTTCTGAAGCATGAATGCCCTGCTTTTGCCTTTTTCTGTCTTTCAGGGTTCCCGTGTCTGTCTGTTGGTCCTCCTCTGTGATCGGCTGTAATGTTGTTGTAAATCTCATGCCTCCTTGTGTAGCAGGAGACAGGGAGTGTTTCTTGTTCTCCAAGTCAGCGTTTCTAGTGTGAGTCTTTTTCTAAATGACTATTTCTGTGTGTGCAATGTGGAATTTGGAAACGACAGACCCATTAAATAATTGCACTCAGTAAGCTTGCTGGTTCCTTCACTGTACCAACCACCCTCTCCCTCACCCCAGGACTGTGTGTTACCCAGGGCTGTCTGTATTCATTTTGCCATGTGCTCCTCAATCTCCTGCTTGATTTTCTAGACAGTGCAACTAGCTGCAAGGAAAAAGAATCCCGAAGAATTCATGTTGCCCCTTGAATGACATTGATCCTTGAAGCCCTTGTTGCCTAAACACTAGTCCCACCATGGACTCCTGCTGTCATTGATTTGGGTAACACAGGAATAGCCCATTTTAGCCTTTTGTTTTTTGCATGTGTGTGTTAACTTCCATCTGTGTACCTGAACAGACCAGATGTGAACTGTGGGCCTCCTGTGTATTAGGGACATGGGATGAACAGGTCTGTGGTCCAGGGTGGATGAGGACTGTGAGCTGCTCTGAATTCAGCCCCTCTGGTGATGGAGGAATGTACTGGATTATTTTAGCTGATCCTCCCCACTCCTGGGTACAGATGGGGTTTAATTTATGGTGCGGGGAAGGGGTGGAAGCTGTATCTGTTGTGTTTGTGTGTGTCTAGGATTGGTGCCATCACCTTTCCATGCTCCTCCTGGGCTTAGCCCAACATGGTCTCTTGGAGATGAGTCAAAGAGGGATAGCACAGCAAGAATAAAGAGGATTTGAGAGCCTTGCAAATTCTCTTCGTCAAAGGGCTTCTCTCCCATGTGCAGCCAAGTGATTTGAGACGAGAGGAAATCTCTCCGTTCCAGGCAGGCTGGCTGGTTAAAGACCTGGGAAATGAGCTGGCTGAGGAGGCTCCATTGACAATGTGTGTAAAATGAAAGCCTGCTCCCTTGAGAAAGGATTTTTTTTGGCCATTAGCAAGGACTCCCTGGAAGGGTTTTTCTTTTTAAAGGTGGAACCAGAGAGAAAAACAGAGAGGAGGCTTTGCTGAGCATCCACTGCTGCCCTCCTGCACTCGCAGCTGGTACCTTTCCTGCCATAGCAGCTGCCCAGCACTAACCTGGGCCCTGAGCTGCTTCTCTCTCCATCTGGAAGCATAAAGCAGAAACATCACATGAAATGTAATTAGCGTTTTCTAATTCCCAGCACAAATTTATCTGTGGCTAGTTTATTTCTTTTCACCCTTGTACAAACAATGGTCTTTAACCAAGATACCTTTTGGCCACCTGGAAATTTGTATCCCTGAAACACATTCCTATAGCTTCCCTTTCATTAGGCTGAGCTGCCTAACCCCTTCCATGGTTCCCTCCTGTTAAATGCTTATCCTTCCCTGGGAGCCCTCACCTCCCTTTGTGGCCTATCACTCTGATTTTGGCTCAGGAGCTCCATGAATGTTCATAAACTGCCATTCTTTTGCATGACTTTAAGTCCACAGCAAAGGGGCAAAACTTCCAGGTGCAAGAAATGGGGCATTTTCCCTGGGTAAGTCCTGGAAGAAGGAAAAAAAGATCCATGAAAGAGCAAAAATATCCATGAAAACATGAAATCTCCATTTGCAAAGTCCATCTGTTAGAAAAATATGAGCTTTTATGTCATTAGTCTCCAGTAAGCCCATAGCAAATGTGCTCAACTTAGAGGTTGAAAGGCTGGTTTTCTCCAGCTGTCAGATGCTGTCAGCTCAGCTGAGCTTTCAGCATCCATAGGAGAGAGCCTCAGACACCTCTTGGCTCCCAAACTAATGACCCCAAAGAGCTCCTTGTTTGGGGTAGCCTCAGAGTGACACCTTACCTGTGTTCCCAGAGCAATGTGAAACCACAGCAGATGCTCATCCTCTGCAGCAGCACACCGCTCCAGATGGACTAAAGATGTGGAGCATCTCCCCTGGCGTTGTCTTACACCATTTGTTATCTCACATTTCCTAGGGAAGGTGGGAGCTTGAGTTTTTCCTTTTAATATCAATTTAAACCTCTTGGAGACTGGCTCCATGCAGTGATGCCCAGTCTGGGGACTTCTACTCTTCCAATTGCCCCCACTGCTGATCTAGGGAGCTCCAGCAAGGAGGGGACCACTTCTCACCCAGGCTCACAGTGAACCACAAGGCTGCAGAAGACAGCTGCAGCACTGGGGTTGGTCAGTGATGATTGCTCTGTACCGGCTCGTTTCCATGGCTTTGCTCAGTCTCATTTACAAATTCTGCGGAGAGGAGATTTCTCCATTTCCATCAGCAGATCTCCTGCTACTTCCAATCACTCTCAGTCTCTCTGTGGGACCTGCACATGCTGACACGGCTTTGATTTCTCAGAGCACAGAGGGTGTCAGACCTGGGAGGACCAATGATGTTTTTTCAAGGCATCCTTGCATGCAAAAAGTCCCCAGGAGTTTTTCCAGGGAGCACACATTCATCAGGAAATTCTGATTTCTTGAAATTGGCCTGTCCTCAGAACACACCAGTTCTCATGAAGCTTTTGCCAGGAAAAAGTCTTCCCAGGTTCCAGATGAAATTTCCTATCCAAACACTTGAGAGTTGCTCTATTATTCAATCCTCCAGGCACCCCTAAAATAAGGTCTTGCTGGGCTCTGTGTCTACATAAGGACCAAACTGCAGCTTTGGGGCCACAGTCCCTTCCCAGACCCCTTGCTTTCAGCTAAGTTCCAAAAGCCAGGTTGCTCCACAATGGTGCTTTAAACAAGCTGTGCCTCCAGAGATCTGTGCACCCTCCTAAAGCCATCACAGGAGGTAGGTCTCTGCTGCTGAAACCTTTGCTGGAGTTTCTGGCATCAATCTGCTGTGACAAGGAACATGTATATATATGTCTTATATAGCTCTCTGGCCTGGTGCCAGAAGGATATTTGACAAAGTTTGCTATAAAGTCAGACAGGAAAATTACTTATTTTGCTGGCACATAGGCAGAAAAGATGCTTCTCTTGGAGACAAATCCTCTGTTGTTATCTCAGTATGAGAAATTGGTATGATCTGTGGTTCATCTTTTTATCTCCAGCTGAGCCAGGCAAACTTGATGCTCTCATTGAGAGCTGATCTTCCCTCTCCCATTCTAAGTGTCTGGTGCTTTATCCCATTTGCTTGCTCTGCACCCTCCAGTCAGAGGCAGATTTTGCATGTGGGAAGGATGTGCTGCAGGCAGACCCAAGGGGTCTGGCTTGTGGGTGGGCATATCACTGCTGCCTGCACCCTGTGGCTGTTGTGCAAATAAGCAGCCAGCTTATTTGGGAACCTTCCATGAGGCCACTGAGTTCACTGGGAAAAAGGAACCCTTGGCTGGCAATTACAGCTGAACCTGGGAGCGGCAGATCTGTTTGCTCTGGGGAGGTAAACCTAGGTAGCAGAGCATGGAAAGCTCCCCGAGGCTGCCCTCCCCGCTTCATGCTGCGTAATGATCTCCAAATGGCTTTTCTCTCTTATCCTTCATCTGAAAACAACAACCAGCCCCAAAGCTAAAGCAAATTTTTGCTGCATCATTGCTGGGAAACCCTTTTTCTGGCCATAAATCCCTGGAAATCCCTCTGAATGTGGACTTGCACCATGGTGATGACCAATGGTCCCACCCGTGCTTATGGTGCTTCGCTGTGTTGGTGCAAGTAAGGCAGACCCTGCTCTGGGTTAACAGAAAGACAACAGGTGAGAAAGGAAACTGAGGCACAGAGCTGAAAAGGGGTCTCAACTCAGATCAAAGCATTAGTCTTGCTTATCTGAGGGAAAGAAAAGAAACACCTCAGCATCTGTACCACCCTAGAGCAAGGTCTTCCGTGCATTAACCCTGTGCTGTGTGCCGACTTCCTTGCTCATGTGTGCGGCTTCATTTGAAAGAGCCGGAGGAAAAACCATCTCTTTTCCTTGATTAAACCTCAGAATACCTCTTTTGGTGGGCCAGTTTTGGTCACTCAATAAATAGCTGTAGATAGATACCCTTGATCAGGGCAGCAATCTCTGAGGGTGAGAAATACAGAGATGGGTTTTCTCTGCAGGGAACTAAGCGATGAACTTACTGAATGATCCTGTTGGCTGTTGTTCTCCTGACAGGATGCCTTTCTCTGGCGTAATGCTGAATTTCCCAGCAGCTGTGGGCTACATATATTTTCATAGAGCCTCATTAAGAACATAGCTTCAGTTCTTAAAATCACATTTGTTCTAAATAAGAGCTGTCTGCTGGGAGAATTAATTCCTCTGACTTCAGTCACCTCCTTGGAAATGTTGCTGTTGTCTTCAATTTCATGGCTCAGATGATTACACTTTTCCTACACCCAAGAATAACAAGATTAGGGAATTTGTGGCAATGAAGGCAAAGAAGAGGAACTGCCTAAGAAAAAAAGGAATAGAAATTGAATTTTCCCATTAAAAGAAAAAAGAAATAGCTATTTCACAAAAGCAGTTTTGCTTTCGGGAAATAGTAACAGGGAAAACTCCCTGCTTGAACCAAAGTCTCTTATTAAATCTATCAAGCTCGTTGCATTCAAAAATCTTCATGATCCTTAGATATGCTATTTCAAGATACTTTGAGAAGTATTAAATCCACTCCTGTGATTTATAAATTAATACAGCCATCTTCTGCTTCTTATTTCTCTCCAGACCTTTCCAGAGGGTTACACATCATTGGTGGGAATAGATGGGAGGTCCTGGGGAATGGGGGAAAACTTTTTCTCTTAGAAGATGAGTGGATTTCCATTGGGGAAAATCAGTTCAGGGGCCTGGTTTGTGTTTGAAAATGATGTTGTTAGAGACAGAGTCATCCAGAGGTGACAGTTACCATCCACCCACCACCTTTGCCCCTGCACAGCTGGGAGGGAAATCCAGGCAAGTGACTCAAACTGGTGCGTTTTCCCTGATGATTTAAACAAGATGAGAGCGAGATGCAGGGCACGGCTGGTGGGGGGGTGTTTGTGATACAGGGGAGTTGCAGGACAATACGGAAACTGAGGATGTCAAGAGTTTGCCTTCTGAAATGGGGATGATTGCTGCACAAACATGTGTGACATATGAATGTATGCATATGTATGTGCACCTGCAGCTCCTACTGGAGTCAAAGCTCAAAGGAGCAGCAAGC